GTCCCTAATACCCCAGCTCCCATCTGCCTAAATAGACCCTAAACGGTCATAAAAGGAACAAAGAGGATCTCTAGTTAAATAAGAAAAAAATAAAATAAAAAAAAAAAGCACAAAGGAACTCAAAGTGAATGCATCGGCATTGCTAATTTGCTTGACGCGCGTTTCGGCGTAACTAACCGCCTTTGTCAAGAGCTGAAAAGTGTCTGTGTGGATGTCCGTGTTAAAAGGGGTAAGTAGGTCCCGCCCCTCACATCCTAGCAGCCAATCACAATCCCGAGCGTCACCCTTACCGGGTTCATAACATTAGTTTATCTCATTAGCCAATGGGGGACCCGGAGGTGAAAGGGAGGCGTGGTCAGGCTCCGGACCACGTGGGGTATGTGGTAAGTGCCTGCCGCGGGTCTGTGGGCTTAGAGCCGCCCCTTGAATATACCGCACATGTTGGTTTCCCATTTGTCAGATGGCAAGTACAGGGGGCGTGTTAAAGCTCCGTTCATATTGTGATCTGGCAAAACGAACACTGTGAAAATATGGTTACATTTTGAAGATGAATAAAGAATAGACATAGCAGTATGTGATAAACAGAACATTGTTATTAATATGAAGCGGGGGGCAGAGATACTGTTCTAAATATAAGACAGTACCTAAAAGAATACACTGGTCCTTCCCATATTAATGTTCATTGCTGCCTATTAGAGAAAAGTGTAAACCAGAGAAACATAGCTAGAAACAATTTGTCTCCATTTATTGAGATTGATATCCTGATTAGAGAGACAAATGGAAATATTATATAGTTATGTTAATGAATAAAAACAGTGATCACAATTATAATGTATTTACCCGAAAAATGTGGGCATTAAATTAACAATTAAGGCAGGCACCAGAAAAAACGGAAGGAGAGCGGTATGAGCGAAAATGAATAAAGTACTTAATGATATCACATCAAAAATTAATTAAGCGTCACCGAACCATGACCGGCGACATTAAGACAGGATAAGTGTATCAAGTGAAAAGGTGAATTCACTTAATAAAGATTGATAGAGTATGCGGCAAAAAGATAGCAGGTACAAATTCCCGAATAGATACTAACTCAGAGGGGATAGACAGATAAAGTCTTATTCCACATACTTATATATACTTCAAGTAGACAATCACATTGTTTCAAATGAAAGGGGAGAAGGAAAAGCCCTCATTTCAAATGAAAGGGGAAAAGGAAAAGCCCTCATTAAGTCCTTTAGGATAGAGGGTGTTGAGTTTGTAAATCCATCTGCATTCCTTTTGACGTAAAATTTTGTCGAAGTCTCCTCGTCTGGGCTCACGTTTGACCAACTCAAGACCACAGAAGCGTATGTTTCTAGACGAACCATCATGGTGTTCTTTAAGGTGTCTGGAGATAGGGGTCTCTACCCGGTTTCTGGTACATCTCACATGTTCTTTTATGCGCTCCTTGAAGGGCCTAAACGTCTTCCCCACGTACATCATTCTACAGCTGCACGTGAGGAGGTAGACCACTCCTACCGAGTTACAGTTAAAGAAATGGGAGATTTGAAAGACATGTTTTCCCTCACTGTCTCCTACTTTCTTAGAATCCCTTAGGATAAATTTGCACGCTACGCATTTACCACACTGGAAAGTACCCACTGGGATTTGACGTCCCAGCCATGAAGGCAGTGTTTTGGGTTAGTTATTGTAGTGTTCGTCCCATGTTTTCCAGATGTTCTTAAAAGGCTGCTTTGAGGTGTTGAAAATTTTGCAACTTAAGATCATAGTAATATGGGTTGAAAAAAGACTCAGGAACATCTCTGTTTACGTATTTTGAAGAACATGTTCCTCTTCTTTTGGCAAAATGTCTTACAATAGAAAGAATTTGAATGATACGGAATTTAATGAATTTGGTTTGTTGGTATACTAGTTTTAAAACTGTGAAATCATGAAGACTTGGGTTTGTAGGGTTAAAGGAGAACTATAATTTCACTAGAGTTTACACGATTAAATGAAACATTGAAAGCCGCTTAAGATTTATATTAACTTTTAATTCAGGAGATGCATCTTAATCTATATTAAAGATTTCACAATTTACATTATATGTTCAAATAAGTCAAAACCAGGGCAAACTTTGCAGATGAGAAGATATCCAAACACTGTCTCGTTTCTCTTTTTTTTCAGTATGCTGTCTCTATGCTGTCGGCAAAGATTGACAAAGATGGAAAGATGGGAAAAAAAATCAGTTAACGAGTTAATTTACCCACAATCTATCAATCAAAAGAATGCCATAGAAAAACTAACTGCATATATATTGGACAGATGGGAACTACATGGAGGCATCCAGTTATGGAGATCTGGCACAGGAAAGAAATGATAATAGACATAAATAAAGGCAAATTGAAATATGGATGTATATAATCATTAAGATACAAGGGTCAAAAGAAAACAAAAATTTAAGAAAGAAAAAGACAGTATCACTTTAAAGTTCATAAAGTGACTTAAACATTAAGGCTCATCAGAGGTTTTACATTATGGGTTCCTCAAGGAACAGATGTTTATGACTCATCAGGGCTCATCCGTGGTTTTTGTTTTGGACTCATGAGTGGACATATACTATGAGCTCATCAGGGGATTACATTATATGTCTATCAGGGGATTTTATAAATTATTATTAATTATCATCTGGGGATGATATTATATTGTGGACTTATCGTCGATCACAAAATAAAACACTATCTGTGTGAGAAAGGAGCAGTAACTCTGACAGATCAAGCTTTGCTTAACATGTAAAATACATAACTTAGCTGAGCTGCTGGGGAAAAAAGAGTTACAGACTCCATTAACAACTCTGCCATGCAGGAAAGACTAAAGAGGGCAATATTGGGACATCACCAGAGCAGGGCAAGAAGGGGCAAGAAAAAGCAATCATTCATCATCAAAACCAGAGTCACTTAAAGGGACACTGTAGTCACCAGAACAACGACAGCTTAATGTAGTTGTTGTGGTGTCTCTTGTCAGTCCTTGCAGGAATTTTGGATGAATACTTGCAAAAAATATTCAGATTAATAATTTTTAATTTGTGTGGTAATAGCTTCTTAATCCACAGACAGATCTGACTGCCATTCTGGGGTCAAGAAGGAATTTTTTCATGGTTTGTAGCAAAATTGGAAAACGCTTCAAACTGAGTTGCGGAAATTGATGGACGCATGTATCTTTTTAGCTATGCAAGGTAGCTGTTTGCCCCAGATATTTTCAATATTTTATATAGTATATACGGGCTATAGACATACTTCTATATAACTAACAGTGCCTATTATATACATTCGGACCAGGTCAGTTTCATCCCTGGAAGGGAAGGAAGAGACAACACTATCAAGGCCCTTAATATAATCCATGCAGCACAATCAACCCGGAAAGAACTGTTACTACTATCTACAGAAGTCAAAAAGGCATTCGACCGTGTCGATAAAAGACACCTGGGAGCCAGAAATCTTGCTGATTGATAGGGTATCAAATACTTATTTCACTCATTGACATGCAAATCAATTTGTAACTTTTTTGAGATGCATTTTTCTGGATTTTGTTTGCCCCTACCACAAATATATATATCCAGAAAAATGCATCTCAAAAAAGTTACAAAAAGTTACAGTGTGTGTGTGTATATATATATATATATATATATATATATATATATATATATAATGCAGAGTGTGTGTATATAATGCAGTGTGTGTGTGTGTGTGTGTGTATAATGCAGAGTGTGTGTGTGTGTGTATATAATGCAGAGTGTGTGTATATAATACAGTGTGTGTGTGTGTATATATCATGCAGTGTGTGTGTGTGTATATAATGCAGTGTGTGTGTGTTTGTGTGAATACAGAGTGTGTGTGTGTGTGGTGTGTGTGGTGTGTGTGAACTGGGTGGGTGGAGGGCATTTTTATTATTTTTTATTTTAATATTTACTTTTTTTTTATTTTAATATTATTATTATATTTTGTTAACTGCTTGTTAACTGGTCAGGGAGGGGCTATCTTAATCCCTGGTGGTCCAGGGGCATTGGCTGTGCAGTGCGGGGGCTGGCAGGAAGCGTTTACTTATGTTTCCTGCAGCTCCTGTCAGCTCCATGCAGCTCCCCTGTCAGCTCCCACTGTAAGTCTCGCGGTCTGCGTGCCATGCGGAGCGTTGCCACGGTAACCCGTGGCAACGCTCTGACGGCCGCATGTCTCGCGAGACTTACAATGGGAGCTGACAGGGGAGCTGCACGGAGCTGACAGGAGCTGCTGTAAAGGTAAGTAAATGCTTCCTGCCGGCCCCCAACAGGACCACCAGGCTTGTAATGAGCCCGGAAGTCCAGGTCTATATTATGCCAATGTAAGTGACTCGAATATAAGTTGAGTGGGGCTTTTTCAGCACAAAAAAATGTGTTGAACAACTCGACTTATATGGTATATTCAGAACTTTTTGGGAATCTCGGTTCCAAAATTTCACTGAGCAAAACAGACATTTTGCCAAAAACCTACGATGCAGAGATTAATTATAGCCTGTGATTCGCTGAGAAGCTTCCTATGTGTATAAAACTATGATGGCTCTGCATCTAAGGTTAGTTTGATTTTTTTTTTTTATTATTTGAAAAACACCCTGAACAAATTGAAAATAACAGTTGTAAAATGTTCTATGGCGATGCTTTCACTACTTCTTATTACAAAGCCAATTAAAATATTGTGTCAGAATTGGAGCGTGAATATCAAACCAATATCTTCCTTTGCTGTCAGGGTTAATAACAATGAGCTTGTCCTTCTTGAGCACTAAACCATTTCTGTTAGTTTCAATATTTTAGTAAATATTTCTGACTTTAAATAGCTCAGATTGTAATGTTATTTTATGGGTAGTATATAATTAGAGAAAATAGAGTGTAAAAAAGTTTTCAATGAAACAATTATGTTTATTTTGTTCAGATATAGTAAATTATTATATATATATAATATAGTATAAAAAATACTATATTTATTTAATCTGCTCAGCGAAAAGCTACACTTTATGATTATTATTATTATTGGTATTTATATAGCGCCAACTAATTCCACAGCGCTTTACAATATTGTGAAAGGAGGACACATTTACAATAAATGAGACAATTACACAGTGAACAATAGGTAGACGAGGGCCCTGCTCAAACAAGCTTACAGTCTAGAGGTTTAAAGCTAATCACGATCATGCACGAATGGACTCTCCCATATTCATGATGACTGACTCTCTTTGTATCCAGGTTTGTCTATCATTTCATACACGGGATCCTCATTTATCTCATTGTAAATTTTCAGAATTTCGTTTTCAGTTGTTCTTAAATCAAGTACACACTGATGCAAAAAGATATACTGCTCCTAAAACACAAATTAAAGGATTAGTGTCTGTCCCTATTCATTTATCCTGCAGCCTTATCTTAATCACACAAACAGTACTGCACTTCAAAATGTGTACATGTAAATTTCACACACTTAATTTGAATTTGTGGATTTGCATCTATCCTAGGTAAAAGAAAACCTAAATAGATACCCCATATTGGGAAGAGCCTTTTTTGGATTGTTTTACATTATCTTAATCAAAAATCATATCATCAATAGTATCACGACAATGCCAAAGGTAGCAATCTCATGTTTTTATATACAACAAAAATAATGAATTCTTGTATTACTTTAAATAAAACTTAACATATTGACTTCAAATAGTCCAATTTTATTTTTGCAATACTTAATGAAATTTATATTTTTTAGCATTAATTGTCTAAATTCCTGAACCTTAATCAAATGTTCACTTACCTCTGTTTGCACCATTTGTGGCCAAACTCTATGCATGTCATACACAGTGTTATATAAATCCACAGTTTTTCCTTCTTCGCTTTGTTGTATAATGTTATCTAGCGTGACAAAAAGACCTGTCCTTCCAGCACTAAAGAAAAAAAAAGATTTAGAAACAATACCAGGTGTGACAGATCCATCTGTATAGACTAAGATTGCTGGTTCATCTGTTTTGCCTCTTTTCGTGGAATTACCTGTCCGTATGCCCCTGTTCGTTTGTTTGACTTTTTTACCGAATGAACTTACTGAACGGACTGCCACCCAGAAGAGAAGTGTGCTGCTGGTTAACCTCTTGATCCCAATTAGAAGGTTGTGGTTAGCTGCAGACACCTCTTAATTATAGCCGAATACAGGGTAGTCGTCGTTCGTATGTCGACCACGAGGCGGTGTCCATTTTAAACCATGCAAAAGACCAGCGGTGTCCGGCACAGATTGGAACTGAAAACGGACACTTTTTCTGCCGAACACCGCTAAAACCACAGACTGCCCTTCTCAGTCGACAAAGGCATGCGAACACCAGCCGTTCGGGAGTTTGGACTACACAAATGGACTTAACCCAGATAGCCTTCCCATGGAGTCAATCGCATACCGAAAGACTGTAAAAGACTTTGACTCCATGGCGATTAAACTGTGTGTATGGGATCTGGGAGGAAACCGTGATGCATGCTGGGAATATTATGTGCCTGTGTGTTCTAACATGCTATATGTCTGTCTGCCATTACAGTCTCCCATTTGGTCCCCTAGGGGAGTGTCCACCAAGTGGGAGACCTGCATAAATACGGGCGGGTAGCCCACAGTAAACCCAGTTCTTGTTTTACCCTCAATGCGGAGCTTGGTCTCGTTATTGGGGGGATTTACTACACACGAATAGCGACTGATTGATGGAAGTGTAAGCCGTTTGGAGGATATATTGATTCGGCTGTTAGCAGCGATTCGCGTGGTTACCGTTCGAGAGTAGGAGCACCCGTATGGGTCCAGTTCGGGAGGTTGGCGCATTCCCCTGCTTGCAGTTCGTACGATTGGAGTCCGTATGAATGAAGGTTGCATGATTTGCGAGAGGGGAGGATTAACTAAATGGTGGTTTTGACTATTTGATGCTGAGGGTGCCGTTACACCTGGGTGTGATAATTATATAGCTACTTATACATATTGTGAGCCTTATCTACTTTTGTAGAATGCACAGTGTACATTAGTAAATGGCTAAATAGTATCAATATTTGGGCAGATTAGCTGAGCTGAAGTGTTCTTATCTGCTGTCACATTCTATGGTTCTATGTTTAATCTGAATGAGACCTTCTTCCCAAGCACAGAACATTTTATTTTGAGAAAGGAGATTGGAGCGATATGCCAATTTCTTTTTTGTGATGAAGATCTGTAAGGTCATGTAAGGACACGGCAAAACGCCCACAGAATTCTGAACATTTGTTATCTTATTTTGTTATTTTATATTTGTAAAGTTTGATTATAATAAATTCTATTTTTCAACAATACCTTTTCCTGTGGACTTCAGATCCAGGTGTTCCAGCATGATAAGGAAGAGTTTGTGTCCCATAATTGACACACAAGCTACTATACTTAGAGCCAGGTTTATAGGCTCTAATCCAGATGAGCGGTTTCACTTATAAATTCCATCTACCTATTTTTTACCAATATACTACACCAGATATCATTTTTTTATTATTTTTTTAGAAGAAAAATCAAGGAATGCCTTGTAAAGGATTCGTGATCCCTAATACACGCCTGCCAGAGTGATCTGAGTCTGTCCAATGAGGCTCAGAACCATGTGAGTGAATCCAATCACCAAACCACTTTATTTTGACCTATTTGGATATATTACACTATTCTGCTATTGACCCCCTCATAGTTCTGGGTGGGGAGGGGGTGAAGGGGGAGGTGAGTTATTTCATTCTATGCACTCTACCTTTCAACTAGGGTTGGCTTTTTCTAACACACAGTTGAATACAATTCTTAACCATTAAGACCTCCATGCTGGGCAGGTTTGACTAGACTGTGCATCAGAAATGACTGAGGTGCTACACCTGATCTATTAGCAACCACAACAGAGGTACAAGAAGCTTTTTTTTCCTCAAAGTTACTAAATGTAGGGTATGAGCAAATTGCTATTTTAGTCTACTGATAGCACTGCAGGAATTACAGGTTCAGTGCCCTTTACAGCAAAGATACCCAATTCATCCTTACCAACTCCTGGTTAGTAGGAGAATGTTTAGGGCAATAAGGGCTGGTAAATAGGGAAAGTAATGGCAGACAAATTAATGAGAATGGACAGCATAAAATGACTATTGTAAAAAAGGAGAACTGGCTATTTTAAGGAAGGTGGCCATTTTTTTCATGAAGACACTGCAGACAATGGTTGTACATAGAGTCATCACTATGGTATTTAATAGGAATTACAAATAGGGAACAATAATGCCTGGGTTGTTCTATTGTGGTACCTGCAGTGCACCAATGTAGGGGTCACCACTGTGTTTTGCTTTCGACACTTTTGGACCTCTTGCACAAAGAATATGAAACTTTTTCTTGTTTGTTCATCATTAAACCCAGACCATGCTGTAAACTGAAACTGCTGCACTTGCCGACTTATATTTTCTTTTTCCTGAGTAAAAAAAATAAATTTCAATCATACCTATACAGGAATGAAAACATTATAGCTGTTGTGTATACTGCTAAAGAAAGAAAATGTACTCATGCATCTACTAATACTAATACTGATACCATCAAAGTACTGTGAGTTCTCTCACATATCTTGCTCTTACTTTCGGTCAGAGATATGTGAATGTTATATATGATGCAGCATGCATTATGGGAAAATAATGCCATTAAGGGGTTCTGTAGAAAGCATAATCCATGAGAAGTCTGAGATATCACTTCATATATTACTAAATCCTAAATTATTACCTTCAAAGTTCATTGATACAGTTGGAAATCTGGTAGTTTTCTCCTATCTGATTTCACTATAGAGATAGAAACTAGATAACATTTGATCAAATTTGCAAATATTTGAAAGGAAATCGCTTAGATTAAACTCTGGCTCCTTTTATTTGGATGGCTCACAATTATTTTTCAAAAGACATTTTTATTGAAGGGTGGATATTTTTTAAAATGATACTTAATATGTAAAGGTAACAAGGAATTCTATATAATTGTAGTATAACTCCTGTAGTGGGGGGTAACCCCTAAATTTAATCCAAATTTTATATACGAGATAGAACAGGAGTATAAGCCATAGAGTAAATGCAAAATTGACCCAATTAAGAAAAAATAGTATTGGAATCAGTGGAAGAAAATTAGAATTTTAAAACTTAGCCTTTAATGGTTTATGATAAATATATTCGCTTTGATATATACAACCATAATTGTTGATTTTATTATGGAAAAGGTATATATATATATATATATATATATATATATATATATATACCTTTACCATAATAAAATCAACAATTATGGTTGTTTAGATATAGAGTAGCAACTAGGATCATTAGGAGGGTGAAATCTAGTGTTAACCCTTTACTTTCTTGCACTTCTGATGGAGTTTGTGCAATAAAAAGTAGCAACCAAGATCACTGTTGATAGTTGGACTTTTATTAACCCTTCTATTGCTACTTAGAAAATACAGTGTGATAGAAATACATTTGCAGCCTTGCTCGCTGTTTAAATGGATGAAAGGTTAACCCTTCGTTTGCTGTCCCTTAAAATGTACGTTTATAGAGTTATAGGTAGTAAGCACAATCATAATTATTTGTTCAGTTTGATATAGAACGCTTATTTAACTACTATTGTGGATTTTTAAATCCGATGGAGCTCCAGTACTGGTAGCTGGCACTGCTATACTATTCTAAGAGGCTCGTTGCTTGGCTGTCGAGCCTCTTTAACTGAACTAAATTAAGAATGTTGCGGTAGATTGGTAATGCACTATTTTTTATGTCAATTGCGTGTCCGTGTCAATTTTATGGACTCATCATCTGTCTCAGAACGAGATCTATATTTCTGTGAAGGGTTAACACTAGATTTCACCCTCGTAACAATCCTAGTTGCTACTCTATATCTAAACAACCATAGTTGTTGATTTTATTATGGTAAAAGTGTGATATATATAAGGCTTGGCTTGTAATTGTGGGAGGTACATGGAACCCTACTTAAATCCAGTGAGCCCCTGCTTACCTGTCGTCAACGATCTTGGAAGTGATTCTGTTTACTTCCGGTTCACTGGACCCTGACGTAATTTTCCTGCCCGCTGGCCCATTTGCAAAAAACTTTCTCTGCTTACTGAGTTCATGAGTATAACAAGGGAAGCCAGCATACGAACGGCTAACTGTAAGTTATACTCTATCATTTCGTACGCACCCCATACTTGTCATCAAACTCACACATTTGTTTAAAATATTTCATTCGGCTAAATCGCTCATGTTAATCTTTCATCCACATACCGCTACAATTCGTGCTAGCCGGCGTTCGTCTAAAGTTATCCGTGCATAAACCCTTATGTTTACCCATCAGTATACACATAGCAGCCATTCATGTCAAACACACTTTCGTACAAACTTCCCTTGATTCGTATAAACTGCTGCTTGTGTCAGTATGAACTTTCATATGCTCTGTTCGTTTAGACTATCGGTTCGTTTCTTGCACACTTTCGTTTATTTTCCATGCTGTCAATTTCAGTACAATTTCATTGCAGTACTACAGCATCATGAAAGCATTTTACATTCGAATTTAGACGGCATTTCATGTTAAATTTGGTTTAGTTTAACAAGTTCATTAAAACGTCCTTTTTATTTTTATTTCTTGTCAATGTTAAAACATACAACAGCAACTCTGTTCGTTCCTTTCATATGGGAGTTATAAACTGTCTTTTTATTTTAACTTGCTGGCTCTGCAGTAGAAGTTAAATTCTGGTTGAAACAGTGCTGCTAAAGCTTTTCATTCAATTTAAACAGCTTTCAATGTCAAAGCATTTATTATGTCACTCTTTAAAAACTTCCTTGTTTTTCTACTCTCTAAAATATACAAAATCACTATGTCCTGACGGCAGTTAAGGTATAATTTTATTAAAGTATTTCTCCTCATAGCATAGCTAATGTGTTTTATAAATATATAAGTAGGCTAATCAGGGTATGCTTAGATTCTGTCTTGTGCATTGCTAACTGGCGTTTCGGTTAAACTTTCGTATGCATTATCCATTTGCATAAAATGCTTATGTATACACATAGTCACACTTTCTCACAAACTTTCGTTTATTTGTATAAACTGCCTCATACCTAGCAGTTCAAGTTCATTCCGTTTATACAGCATTATGAAACCTTTTTTTTTAAACGGCATTGCATGTTGCATTTCGTTTAAATTACCTAGTCTTTCTTTAAGTTATCTGTTTCATGGTATTTATGTCTTAATTAAAAAATGAACAGCAATATCCCAATCAGAATGTCCTATGGCAATTAAGGTCATAATTTCACTGTGTATTTTTCCCTTAAACCATAGCTAAAGCGTTTTATTGGTATATAAGTGTGCTAATAGGTTTATATTATGCTCTACTTCTGTCGCCGGCATCTCATGTTTCTAATTACACTAGGCTGTATATAAATAAGATGACAATCAAGTATGTTTTTCCCTCCTGTTAACGATCGTACAATAACTGTTACTGATTGCTAAGGGGCTTTATGGTTTAAATACACCCCATTACTTAAAGAGCCTCGGAAATTCCCACCTAAATTTAATTTATTTCCTTCTGGTAACATGTACTATAAATAAATAAGTCACATTAGTTTCAAGTTATCACCCTACCAGGATAAGCCGCACAGGATCCTCATACGTTGCACAAAATTACGACGTCGCCCACATATAAAACAAAATCAAAACCTCCAAAGACCATACAATTATCAAGGCAACTATGTTTCATTTCATTCAATTATCTACACAATAACCAAACATAAACCAATCGATCGCATAACGTTTCAACAGTTTGTCTCTGCCGTCAGTAGTTATGGTACGGTTAGTAATTATTATACAGTTAGATAATCATGGTGTTGCAATATCAATTGGTAATGGTTATGGTGTTACAATTATAATGTCATACAGTAGTTTGATGTCGTCAATGTAATGTTGGTAGTTATGGTGTAAGTCAGTAGGTAGGGGGTTGTGCGCAATTATACACTTTGCACACTTTTTACAAGACCGCTAAACACCAAAAGCTCAAACCTGTTAGCAGGATACGGATCGTTCTTTCCACTACAGTATACATTATACAGGACAATCAGCAGGTACGTTAACGAAATAAAAGCAGTTGGGGTTAGGACAAGGTTTAAGCTCTCGCCAATTTAGGTATGGTCCCGTTGGCATCCTCGCCTATAAGTCAAGTGGTCCCGCAAAGCATATAATCAGCCTTCCGTTCAGAGGTTCGAGCCCAATCAGCCCAACGCATAGTTAAAGCCTTGCATCAAGTCATAGTTAGGGCCTCATCCGTCACGGCCAATCGATTTTACAATCTTTTACATGTCACCTAGAGGCCAACACCCCGCCACCCACCTCAGTGGCACAAAGGCCCCACGAGCCAAATCATAGGTAGAGCCTCTCAAAGCCACTTGGCAAGTAGTCAGGGTGTCACCTGCGACCAACAGAAGCTAGTTATTACAATTTCGCCTGTGGGCACTACTCTAGTAAGCTGGGTCACTGCAGATCTATACGGTACCTTACTAACCAAGTCATCTGCTGCACTTCCTTAGCATGTCTAACGCTTCTATACAAGGACACGTTCTGTCAGTTACCAGCACCCATCTCAGTTCAGGCTCGCAGAGAGTACTATACAAACACCAACTGAGGTCAGTTACACTCGGAACGGTTTCTAAGGCATTTTTTGGGTCTCAAAACATCTTCCTGCTCCATAAGCTCAGCAACAGCCCATACAATCAAATTTCATCCTGGGAACGTAGCTATTCCCTCTACCAGTAAGCCAACGCTGATTATCAGTCCAACACATCCCAGAGGGATTTTGTTAAGACTAAATAGGCAGGCCAATTTGTTTTCTAGGTGAAGCACAAGTCTGCAATAATTTAAATGCCGGTGGTTGTAGTTATGGTGCACTTCTCCTAGCTTAAATACACTGTCCCTGTCATAAGGTTTCCTTCAGTTCGCCAGAATTGACGAGGCCATACAAGCATTCATTCCGGGAAGGCTGTCTGGTTATGTAAATCAGACTTTACTAACACGTGTAAATTACTATCCATTCTTCAGTCAATATGGCATCTACATGGAGTTAAGTGGGAAGACAGCCACTATTTCATTACCAGACCAACATTAGGCTTCATATGTAGCCCGAGTTATATGATATCTTCACCGAAACCTTAAACCTGGCTCCTACGGAACATATGCAGATGACCAGTAGTCTTACACTACTTAGACAACTTCCTCACCATCGAACCACACCAAAGCACATCACACAGCCTGAATCACATGTTCACTCTGTTCAAAGATTAGCTGTACCCATAGCCCGGACAAAACACAGAGATCACATTCCTGGGGTTTACACTCAGTTCTATTTCTATGCAGGCCAACCAGCCACAAGTGTAAGTAGATAGAATCCTTTCTTACGTCAACATCTGCACGTCACAGGACACTTGCATTAGGAATCAGCTACAGTCACTACCCAGTTCACTCAATTTTGCGGGGAGAATTATTCCACAAGGTAAATCTTTAATTTCCAGAATCCTCTCTCTCTTGCATGGTCTCCCTGTCGATGACTCCACAGTTCTCTTAGACAAACCAGCTAGAGCTGATATTAAGAAGGTGGCGTCTGTTCCTGTCCTCTTGGAATGGCAGGTCACTACTTGTTCCCCCCTGTTTCTGACGATTCCCCTGTGGTGCCGTAGATTATGCAGTGAATTTTGGTTACAAATGAGTACACGTCTCTTGGCCAATTGAGTCTACCTCGCTAGTAAATTTCAATACCACCTCAGCACTATTTGAATCTACCCAATCATAGCAGCTACACATATACGGGGCAAAGAGTGGAGAGGGCAGTCGGTCAGATGCTTTTCTAATATCTTGGCGACATGTAATATCATTAACAAAGGCCGCTTTCAGTACCTCTCGATTATGAACTTGGTAAGGAGTCTTACCTGGCTAGCGGCAAATCTTCAATTCAGCATAACTTATGTTCACGTTACTGGTATTCAGGATAACACAGCTGATGCTCTCCCACACTCTTATTTGCAGGAATTTTTTTTTTCTGAGATCAACCATCAGCAAACACGCAGCCCAAGGAGCCTTCAAGCTTCACAGTCCTAATTATGCGTTAAATACTCTGTTGCTCCATAGTAGGTCGCTCGCACAGGCTTGTTTATACCTTAATTTAAGAAAGCCTATGCCAAGAGCATATAAGTTGTTTAAAGGTTTGTTCATGTTTACTGTGTGATAAATGTTTCTATTTGTAACTATGGTCGCATTTCCAACTTTTGCCACTTTTCTCTTAAATTAGTTTTCAATACTATCAAACCTTACTTCACAGGCATACACATTTGTCTATTACTCATTGTAACGGAACCGCTGGCACCCCGACCGGGTACCTTCCGCCGACGGATGCTCCTAGTGCTCTCCGAGGACTCCAAGCACTCTGCCTGACACCATAACCACTGCAGACCCCACGAACCGCCGCAGCTTGTTTGGGGTCTTGCCGTCTCCACCCACTCTGGACCCAGGACCAGCTTCCAGCAGGTCGACCTCTCTCCGAATTCCACAGAGCAGGAACAGGAACAAGCTCTTAGCAGAGCTTAGTGATTATACCCTGGGGAGTATAGTGATTATAGCAATCCCCAGAGTTTAGTTTCTCCAATCCCCCAAACATGAGCCGAAACGTCATGAAGGTACAAGATGATCTGTTTATTGGCACACAAAGAACCTTCTTTTATGCAGGTCCCCATGCAAGGGGACATCCCACTGGGTGGGACACAGTACAACCAATCACACAATGGTTACATCCCACACATCTCCTCCCCTTAGCCTGAGAGGTAACCCAATTATCCATACATTTCCTAACTCTAAAACTATAAATCACATTCACATAAAACTACATATTCAGAATCAATCCATTCAGGGGAACAACATATTAAATGGCCTGAATCAGAGCAGGGGTTCAGAAGTTAGCACAAGTATCTTTTGGGGCCTGGCTGGCAGCATGGCTATCTGGCCCAAACTGGTTTCAGAGTCTTCTATTCTGGAGATAATTGAGAAGTAATGCAATTATCTCCAAGGACAGAAGCAAAACTCCATTAGCCACATGGCAGACAAAGGACAACAAAAGACATAAAAATACATACTGTTACATTTATCACATAGAACCTACACATTTCCAATTTACCGAACACATAATAGCATATATAATATTGCAGACCGCCTGAATGCAATCTGCTACACAGTCTTAAAGGGACATTGTTCCTAAAAGTCATAATATGTCCAGGAATGGTTTTTAAAGGGCCAGCAGCAGCACCATACAAATCCAATATGCCCAAATATTATACTTGAAGGGCCAAATAACCCAGGGCCATAGTCATGAGGCAAGAGGCTGGCAATCAGGCTCCTCCAACAGCCAGGGGAAAATCCGGTGACAAAAGGCGTTTCGTCACACATCTCCCCTTTGGGAGGGAGACTAACCAGGTACCTGACCTGTCGGTCAGTGCCTGAGTTAGTCGATAAACCCACCCACAGTGAACAAGTACATGAGTAGCCCACCCACAACACACATTTACTGCACCTGGGTGTGGTGTATCACCAAATTAATATATATATTACACAAGGTTCGTCTACATTAAAAGGTATTTATTAAAAGGCAACAACACAATATTATAAATGTATCACAAACACACAGCCCAGACCCACGGAGCAACAACCCTTTTTAAATCTATCTATCTATATAGTAACCCCTTCCACACACGCTTGATCTCACCCACGGTTAGGCCTTCACATCTAGTAATGGCTCACTGCTGCAAGTTCAACATCACATCCACCAAGGAAGAAAAGGAAGCAACAGAGAGTAACATGGTTCACCATGCTAGCACATGGCGTCTGCACATCTGCTCTGCAGCACAGCCAAGAAGGAACAGAGAGGAATGGAGAAAAGGGGAAGTGGTTATCTCTTTCCTGACTTGTAAAGGTATTGAATTACCAATTAACATTTCAAAAGGGTAAAGCTTATCCCACTGTAAGAAAAGCAAACATGAGCTTGGTCACATGACCCCTGGTCACCATATTAGTTTGATGACAGAATGTCACCACACTGGGTATTCCTCTGAGGTCACTGGGTAACACGCTTTGGGTGCTTGGGGGGCAGAGGCCAAATGCGCTCTGCCCCGATGCCAGCGCTTCGGCTGGGGCAGCTGGGTTAGGCCTTGGCTGGGGAGGGGAAATAGTACTTACCCCCTCCTCCTGGTGTCCCTGCAAGGGTAGTTGGGGATCTGGACAGGCTGTCCAACATCCCTGTAAGTCGGGTGCAGAGACCACGGTCTCCTCTGCACCTTCTGGGAGACTAGTGTCTCCTCTTTGTGGGGTAAGTTGCCACTGGGAAGGAAGGAAGGCACCTTCGGCTCCCTGGGATACACACTGTCGCTGGGGAGGAAGGACGACACCTTCAGCTCCCTGGGTTACACACTGCCACTGGGGAGGAAGGATGGCACCTTCAGCTCCCTGTAACTTGCACTGCCGCTGGGGAGAGAGACCGGTTGTCTCTTCTCCCTTGTCAACACACTGCCGCTGGGGAGTCAGACCGACTGTCTCGACTCCCAGTGATGATGGTTGCTGCAGGGATGAGGGACCGACAATCTCCTCTCCCTGGGATGCTGTCTGCCGCTGGGGAGAGAGACCGGTTGTCTCCTCTCCCTTGACAACCCACTGCCGCTGGGGAGTCAGAGCGACTGTCTCAACTCCCAGTGATGATGGTTGTTGCAGGGACGAGGGACCGACAATCTCCTCTCCCTGGGATGCTGTCTGCCGCTGGGGAGAGAGATCAATTGGCCACAGCCCCAATCTCCGCAATCGGAGCTGAAATTCCCATGCCGCTCGATTCTCCTCATCCAACTTGCGCATGGTTGCCAGGATCATCTCTAACGAGGTATCCGGGCCATACCTGGTTAACCGCCTCTTTGCCTCCTCCATGTAAGCGGCACCCTCAAAGAGATAGGTCATGTTTGCTGTGACCAGGGGCGCTGTACGAATACTAGCGTTGCCCTCAAATTGTAATTCCAAATGAACTGTGTCTCTGAGCTGCTTTACCTTGCACTAGGACGCCATCCCACCGCTTGCCACCAATGTAACGGAACCGCTGGCACCCCGACCGGGTACCTTCCGCTGACGGATGCTCCTAGTGCTTTCCGAGGACTCCAAGCACTCTGCCTGACACCATAACCACTGCAGACCCCACGAACCGCCGCTGCTTGGTTGGGATCTCGCCGTCTCCACCCACTCTGGACCCAGGACCAGGGTCCAGCTTCCAGCAGGTCGACCTCTCTCCGAATTCCAGAGAGCAGGAACAGGAACAAGCTCTTAGCAGAGCTTAGTGATTATACCCTGGGGAGTATAGTGATTATAGCAATCCCCAGAGTGTAGTTTCTCCAATCCCCCAAACATGAGCCGAAACTTCATGAAGGTACAAGATGATCTGTTTATTGGCACACAAAGAACCTTCTTTTATGCAGGTCCCCATGCAAGGGGACATCCCACTGGGTGGGACACAGTACAACCAATCACACAATGGTTACATCCCACACATCTCCTCCCCTTAGCCTGAGAGGTAACCCAATTATCCATACATTTTAAAACACACTTTTTACCCAACTTTCATAACTCTAAAACTATACATCACATTCACATAAAACTACATATTCACAATCAATCCATTCAGGGGAACAACATATTAAAAAATGGCCTGAATCAGAGCAGGGGTTCAGAAGTTAGCACAAGTATCTTTTGGGGCCTGGCTGGCAGCATGGCTATCTGGCCCAAACTGGTTTCAGAGTCTACTATTCTGGAGATAATTGAGAAGTAATGCAATTATCTCCAAGGACAGAAGCAAAACTCCATTAGCCACATGGCAGACAAAGGACAACAAAAGACATAAAAATACATACTGTTACATTTATCACATAGAACCTACACATTTCCAATTTACCGAACACATAATAGCATATATAATATAGCAGACCGCCTGAATGCAATCTGCTACACAGTCTTAAAGGGACATTGTTCCTAAAAGTCATAATATATCCAGGGATGGTTTTTAAAGGGCCAGCAGCAGCACCATACAAATCCAATATGCCCAAATATTGTACTTGAAGGGCCAAATAACCCAGGGCCATAGTCATGAGGCAAGAGGCTGGCAATCAGGCTCCTCCAACAGCCAGGGGAAAATCCGGTGACAAAAGGCGTTTTGTCACACTCATACCAAAACGAGCCATACTGGTCCTCCAGTAGAGATTAAATTTTATCCTACCTCTACGAAATCAGGTCCTATCCACGTTTTGGATAATCTATTGGAATCTCAACTCACTTCCATCCCTGATTCCCCACTAGTAGCTTTTCAAGGGAAACCCCTAACCAATACAATTTTATGCTTTACATTCATATGATATCACTCCGACTAGGACATAACCCTCATTCCTTCTTGGGCCATTTATTCCGCATTGGACCAGCCACAGCTGCCTCCGGTAATCACGTACTGTAGCGGAGGGGTAGTATAAGCCACGGTATCTCCGCTGGTAACAGGAACAGCAAAAACCAATCCACGTAAATAAATACTGCATACAATAATCCTGGTAGCTTTGTAAGAATCCTTCCTTCCCAAGAACTAGACGTCACATAGGCTGGGAGTCAACTCGCTTTTAATCACAGGTCACAGTATTTATGGGATTCCCCATGCAAGGGGTTTCCCTACTGACATTACAGAGGTTGTACAGTAGGGGACTACATGGGGAACTTAACAACCTGGACATTCAGAATTCAGAATT